AACATAGCATTAGCAGATTTCAAGGATATTCTTATGGATATGTTCATGAAGGGACTGTCAAGTACAGTGACATAGCATTACTTGAATTGGGTGTTAGGGACATTCACACCATAATGTAGGCACTATCTGTGGTGACTAGGCTCAAAGCATTAACATCAACTAGGACACAGGAGAGAAAGAAGCCTGCAGTTACTGTACCTCAGTCAGACCACTCTTCTGAGATGACTACATCATAGAAAGTTCGTGTTCTATCAGGGTTTTAAACATGTAAGTGGTCTGAGAATTCTTCTACAGTAGGTGTCTGTGACTTGTTGGCGATAAATTCGACAATAAACGGACAGCACACATTTCATTTGTTTTAAAATAATATATTCAAAACAAGTTAAACATATGTACAAAAATATTGCTTACACCGTGGACATCACAGTTGTATCTTAAACTCTAAATAATTCTCTTCTTTTGTCAAAAGTCCACTTAGGCTGATTCAATTACTTTAGCTATTTTTCTCTGATCGTATACAACAGTATCAGTGAATGATTTACTTACGCTAACCCGTGGATTACCACTGTTGTATCCTGAACTTCAAATAATTGTCTCCTTTTTGTAAAAGTCCACACAAACGGGTTCAATTACTTTAGAACACCCTCTGACAAGACAAATTATTTTCCTTATCTCTAATTAAACTGTGAAACTCACTTTAAATTATCACCCATTATGGCTAATCATTCACATGCGGCTAACTTGACGTTTTTTTTTTTTTTCACTAAACTAATTTTCTGACTGAAATGCACTTTTTCTCTACTTTACTTTATTTTACTTTACTTCACTTCTTCTTCTTGACTTGCGCTAGCGAGCCATTTATATAAATTCCTTATTCACTGAGGCCTCTGGAATTTTCTCTAAATTACGCGACGCGATGATTTGCAATACTCAGTTAAGGTAACGAGAAAAATAATGGAGGTTCGAGTAATGTGATGTCAACAATATTAGTAAAGCCTCGACAACAATGTAATTGCAAACACAACTTACGAGTCTTACCGAGTTACATAACCAAACTGGGTCATAACTATCGCCTTTAAAATGATTAACTTTTAACTCTCTTGCTATGAAAAACCAAACAATTATTAAATATTAACTCACAAAATAAATTTAATAATAACACCTACACTAAACAGTGTTGTATATCCAACATGTTCCACCATAACATAGAACACAATATAAAAATGCAAACAAATGAGTGAATTAGAATAATTTAATCAGTTCACTGTCACTTTTATTGAGTAAGATAGTGAGAGTTAGTGAGTCTGTTAGACAGTGACCGAGTTAGTAGCTTAGTGAGTCAGCATGTTCGTTATGGATCGATTAGCGAGAAACTTTTGAAGTAAGAGATACATTAAAACTAGTTTTAAGTTAGGCGTATCATTAGTTTTCATTGTAACATTGTAAAATTAAGCTTGCCTGTCAACGTTACTAAAGATATAGATTAATTTGTTATCCTCACGTGGACTGGACTTTGCGTTATTTTTACTAAATAATCCTAAAGAACCTGCGCAATAATAAAACATGTTATAACAATAATATTATTGTTTGTTTTTAACATGTTTTGTTTGCTTTTGACCAGTTTAGGTTATATTTTTCAGTTTTGTATTTTGAAATGTAATTCAAGGGACATGTTATATTTCTTATAAAATTTTTCCTTTGTGTTTTTTTTTCATTTTTAAATAACCTAGTCTCGAAATCATGTATTTGTCTCTGTGAAAGTTTTTGTGTTTTTTTTTTTTTGTCCTTGATTTGATTGCATTGTCGTAAAGGAATTTATTTTAGTTGGATTTTCCAGAAAGTTTTGTTTGTTTGTTTGTTTTTCTTAAAATGGTGTTGTATACTGTTTGATGTTTCCTTATGTATATACTTTAGCAAATATTAAGGTTCCTTTTTAGCTGGGCTGAGTGGGACCAAATTGTTAATGTACCTTATTCTGGATCTGAGGTTCCTTGGTTCACATCCCACGCTTTGGGTTCGTTACAAGAGTGACGACCAAATCACACTATTCAGTCTCATAAAAGTAGCCCAAAAGTTGTCGGTGGGTGGTGTTGATTAGTTCGCTTCCCATTTCAAAATTAGGGACTACTATCACAAATAGACCACATGTAATTATGCGCGAAATTTGACAAACAAACCTTTTCAATAATCTTGTATTGTGTTATTGTTCTAGGGCTTACTCTTGTACAATGTTTCAGGATATTTTATGTTTCTTTATTCAAATATATTCTTGTATTGAATTTTAAACTTTTATACTATATTTGTAATAATACTTTTTAAGGGGTCTTTTCATAAGTTACTTGTTATGTTAGTCATAAACTGTGAATGCATTGTTTTAACTTTTGATTTTATTTATATTTAAATGTTCTTTACTTGCCTGTGTGGTATTTGAATATACAATATGTTTCTGTCTTTCTGTACTGAGAGTTATAATATTTATACTTTGTTCTGAATATGTGCAGATTTCACAAACATGTGCTCAAAAAACTGTTAAGTTAATCTGTTTCAAGTTACTCTTGTTTCTTTGTTACTCTCAAAGTAAGGAATACCTGTTATAACCAGTGGAGAACATTGCTTCGTGCAACCTTGTGTAAGGATGTTGAAAACAATGATCTTTAACGTTGTTCAGGTGATATATAGAGGTTACATCCTCACTTATGTGAAATGAGAATGCCCAATCACATGGCATTGCATGTCATACTAGGTAAATTCGATGTTTTTTTGAAGCTAAGAAATGTTGAGTTAGTCAATCAGGTAGATAATCCTGACCTGAGAGAATGTTAAAGTAAAAACAATCGTTCGACATTTGTAAGTATACACATTAGTGACATTATGTTTGTATTTTACATTTAAAAGAGGTTTCCATTTTGTTTCACAGTTTTGTCTCGTCTCGTTATTATGTTTAACACCAGCTCAATTGAGTAAGAGTTCTAGTATTACCCTATAATCCATATCCTGATTGAAACTTCAGTTTAGCAGACCTATCCGATAGCCTTAACTTATATTCAGTTTTATTTGAACAGACCACACTTGTCTCGTCTATGTGTGTGGTGCTGTACAAGAGTTTTCTCAAGAGCAAGGGATAAGGCGCTGCTGGGGCATCTGCATATTTTGCTTTTTCTTTGTATATTTTATTGTACTTTAAATTTTAAGTTCTGAATGGCCGAGGGTAGCCTGAAAACAAATGAAGATGGGATGTGGTACCTGGATGCACTATATTTTCTATTTTAGGTTTAAAGAGTAAAATGATTATCAAAATTTTGTATAACTAACACACTACTGATGTCACAATTGCACAAGGCAAGTTTCCTATATTTGAAAGTCTGTAAGTACTCTTAAAGAGCACATATCTTTAAAATTCAGGTTGAAAATTAAATGCCACATATTCCTCCACATTAAACTAATATTAGTAAAACAGGTTACTGACACATTTCCTATTTGTTAAAATACTATTTAAAATAAAAGAAAAAAATACTTTAGTTAATAAACGTTTTTCGTAATATTTTAAACATACGTGTAACTAATAAGAGTTTGATATACATTTAACGACAGATATTATACTGAATGCCCCCCCCCCCCCACAGTGGCACAGCGGCATGTCTGCGGACTCATACCGCTAGAAACGGGGGTTTCGATAGCCCTTTGTGTAGCTTTGTGTTTAATAATAAACATCAACATCAATTATAATGAATATATTTTAGGGTGTCACAAATTCCAACTGCCATGTAATGGTCATCATATATCTTTACAAATAAGTGAAACATTGGCATATTAATTAGTATTGCATTTAACAACCAGTCTGAAAGTCAGAGAGACTAGGTTGATTTCCAAACAAAGCTTTCTGGTAATATGTTTTTTTTTTTTAGTTCTGAATAGAGCGTTGAACTCCATGTGATACCTGGAATCTGAATAACAGACCAGTGTGGCCGAATTCGTACTAGTTTCCAGGCTATGAAGAAGTAGAACCCATATCTCCATCCAAATTCCCACATATACTGCGCAATAAAAGATGTGATTTCTCGGCTCTTTATTGATATTTCTTCAAGGTTTTCGCGAGTTCTGTCGGTAAGAGATGACCGACGAAGTCTCAACGAAGCTTACTTGCCGCTGTACGAAGGCTAAGTACAGTATGTGCCTGAACATGAACACATAAATTATTTTGTGAAAGAGGAACACAATCCAGCCAACCCCTTAAACTCCGTATCTTTGTGGTCGAACATTATCGATAGGTGTCTTCTTTTGACAGTAAAGTTTATTTTTTTTAGATTAATAAATCGAAAACTTTATCGGAGTACTTTGTTTTTGTTCTGTCTTGAATACCGGAAACCGTGAACCCTCTGTAACCCATTCAATCCTCCTGAATTCGGTCTCATCGACCCGCAGACCGGATGTTAAAAGTGAGTTTTATCTGACTAGCTAGATGTAATTTTAAATGTAAGTTGGTGCTAAGTGCATAATAAAATAAGTATTATATAAACATATTAGTTTTGAAAAGCTGAGAATATTATTCAGAACGTCATTTATATTTAGTTCAATACAAGCGAGACTAAAAGTGTCGTAATATTTTAAATATAAAAATAATACGCATAAAAAGGCTCGGTAGAATTAGAAGAGTATGAAGGAAAATGTTCAAGCATTTGGCTGGCTGTTAGTATGATTGTGGTCGTTGTATTTTTATGCTTCTCAGAATTATATTAAGGTGTACACATAATATTTGCAGATTTCAAAAGACCTACAAACCCAAGCGCTTCCCAATAGTGGACTATTCTTTTTAGGAGTAAGTTACCCTCACCAGTGGCACAGCGATAAATATAACGACTTGTAGCGCTAAAAATCGGGTTTCGATACCAGTGGTGAGAAAAGAACAGATGTCCCATTGTATAACTTTGCGCTTAACTACAAACAAATAACGTAAATTTTTAGAAAAGATTAAACTGCCACCTGGGGTTTCTAAGCTACACTTTTAAGAGTAAGCAAACGAAGAAATGGCGACTAGTACACCTGTAAGTGTAACAGAAGATAATCAATCGAAAAGCAAAAAGCCTTCAAGTAAGATTTTCTGAGTATCTTTGGTATATTTTCGTTTTATGTAAAGTCATATATGATATTATAATAATTTTTATTCTCACTGTAAAAGTATTACAAGTAGTACTGTTACTAGTAGTACAACTCAAGTTCAGCCTCGTTAGCGACCGTGCGTTACTAACACTAACAGTACTTGTGTAACTAAGTTATGAAATGCAAAACCTAGGCACGGCCATTACACTTTTAGTTTTACAGTACAATTTTTGTGACATAGATTTGGCAGTACAGTGTTAGGTGTAAGTTTAACTACGTTACTCAGATTTATACTTACAATTATAACTTGTACCCTACGTTATTCTTTAGTCTTTAGTTTAGGGTAACAATATCTGTGAACGAAATAAAACGCGACGTTGGGGGTTCATGTAGCGAAATGATAGGTTTCCGGGCTTACTAATACTAACACAAGGTGTGTTCGTATATGCTTAGACTTGAGTGTCCATTCTACTGCAGTGTTCATTCAAATTTAATAAATAAAATATGAGTGATAGAAATGTATATTGGCCGTATTTTCAGGTTATATATGTTTATTATGTGCATGTACTAATCTGAAATGAAAAGAAAAATTTTAGATTTTTGAATTATTTATATTTAGTTTAAAAACTTTATGATAATTAGGATGTATAAGGTTTTATTTTTAAATGATACCTTTTGCTGAAAAAAGTTAGGTACCCTTAAAACTGTAACAAATCACTCCACTCAGTTGTAACAGAGCTAGAGCTGTAACCTTGTGAACCAATGGGCTTACATTATTTTGAAACTTCTTCTTGAGTAAGTATATAAAAGTGAATAGCTACATTTAATTTTATTTTTATTGATCAGTTTGGTAAGTATAGGGGTGACCCTGATAAATTGAATAGCGTTTGCTATTTGACCCAAAGTTTTTTATCATCTCGCCTATTACTGTTACCTCTTGAATTCAATAATTCAATAGATTGTTTGAAATTAAATATATATTTAAAATAACTGTGTTTTCAGGTGATATTATTTTACATAAAGATACTTCATTTACCAGAGGACGAGCATAAAAACAGTGTCCATGAACATGTGCACCTCTGAAACCATTGGTACTCTAAGAAATGCCCACAATATTTCCACGCCCATTACTTACATAACTCTAATGAATATGAATCCTTTCAAACATGGAAAAGGTGAAGCTATCAATACTGTTTCTGTTCAGTTTAATGCTTGCATTGGATTGTAGATTGATATCATCAGTGTTAAATTGTTGGTAAGACTGCTTATTTTGTTATGCTAGAGCACAATGTTTGTTCAGTATGTGCAAAAGTATTGCCCATTTATTTTCAAGTGGGTTGTTCCACCAGAGGTAAAGGAAATTGTCAAAATGACCAAGGGAAGACCTCTGGATATAACTGTTAGACAACTGCTGTTATTTGTAAATTGATGGGTCAGTGAAAGATATGGAAGGTCTCTTATTATTATTAGATTTTTGAAAATTGACAACATTAAAAAAGACTTAATATGGAGGTTTAGTGTTAACTTATAAGAAAAAGTAAATGTTATTAGAAACAGCAATCCATACCATTTTAGTTAATAGTGTGTCAGATGTTTGATCACCTTCTTATGGCATTTTTGAAAATAAAGAATTATTTTATTTTATTGTTTTAAAATGTTAATTTATTTTGTATTGTTTGTAGGTAGTGCCTTTAAACAACAGAAACTTCAAGCATGGCAGCCCATATTAACAGCAGGAACTGTATTACCATCTTTCTTCATAATTGGATTGGCATTTATTCCAATTGGTATAGGGTTGCTTGTTTCTTCGGATAAGGTATTTTTTTAATATCCTAAAGGAATTATTTTAAGCTCAGTAAGTGTGCTGATAGTATATATACTGATTTATAGATGCCATTTCTGGAAATGTTTTTGATTTTGTGCATGCTATGACAATTTTTTTTTAATTAAATGTTCTTAGGAACTCAGATGTATAGGAATGTTTTTTTATGTGCTTCAATACCAGGACATGTAATTAAAAAATGCTACCCTTTTTTGTAATTTCTAACTAGCAAAGAGACCTAGAATATGTAAGAGGCTGTATATGGGTTTATTTTTCTGTAAGTTATGAACTTTTATGGATGATAGAAAAGGATGACAATAATGCTACTTTTATTCTATTTCTTTTGAAATTTCTTTATTTAAAATTTTATTTCTAGTGAACAGTATTTCATAAACTTTTCAAACTTTTTAAAATTATTTTATCCAGGTTCAAGAATTTCAACTCGATTATACTCATTGCAAAAACTCAGCTAATGTAAAATGTGCTGAAGTCATCATGAAAAATATTTCAGAAAGCTGTACCTGTGAAATCACTTTTAATCTGACAGAAAATTATGAGGTAAATAATTTTGAGGATTTTTTCCTTGTGATTAAAATAAAATAGGTTGTAAATTTTATGTGATAAAAACTTGTTCATACAAATTTGAAATCCTTCAAGAGTTCTTACACTTCACACAATACAATCACCGTCAATCAGAGTACTTTGCTTTCTCTGTTGGTTTTGATTGCATATTTGAGGACTGTCAGTTGATTATTGATAAAATCAGTTGTAGGCTACCCAGAACTGTAAACAGACCATCTGAATCAGAGTATGTTGTACAGTTTGTATTGTCTTATTTGCAGCCATTAATCAGAAATCAGAAGACAGATATGCAATTTTTCATAACTCATGAGTTCATGGTGTGTATGTTTAGAAACTCTAATTTAACCTTTGATTGCAACTAACTTGATTGTTCTCTTAAGAAGATGGACTTGAGAAAGTGTACTTTCCATTTAATAATCTAGATTCGACCGACATTACCTTATGGTCACTACAAGATGGACTAGAAAGTGTACTTTCCATTTAATAATCTAGATTTCACTGACATTACCTGATGGTCACTACAAGATGGACTTGAGAAAGTGTACTTTCCATTTAATAATCTAGATTTCACTGACATTACCTGATGGTCACTACAAGATGGACTTGAGAAAGTGTACTTTCCATTTAATAATCTAGATTCAACCGACATTACCTTATGGTCACTACAAGATGGACTAGAAAAAGTGTACTTTCTAGTTAATAATCCAGATCCGACTGACATTACCTTATGGTCACTACAAAATTTTACGTTTTTATAAGTTCATTTTAACTAACAGTAAATATTCTGGCATTACGTTTTTTAACCCTCTTGCCATGAGTAGGTAAAATTTTGCATATCATGACTTTTTAGAGAGTTACATTCAAAATTTAATTAAATTATTGTATTATCAGTTTATACGAAAAAAAAAGTTCCATCAAAACATAGTTAATAAATCACATTTTAATATAACATAAGTTTTAATTTAAAAGGAAGTATTTAAATATATTATCAATCCTCGCTTGTCTGTGTAACATGACATTTGTTTGCCCATTTTCTATTTTTTCATCATGACTATGATATCCTGAATTTAATGTAAGTTAATTATTACAGTATAGACACTACTAATTTATATTGTAATTTTTCAGAGCCTTCACTCATCTTTGTTTATGGAGATATAAACCAGAAAATCAAACCCACTCGCCACGCTCTGATATCACATCTTTTCTTTCACAAATTGTAATAACTCTTCCTGATGTTTGCTATTAAATCATTTATAACCAATAGAAAGACACAGTTTTAATTTAATTCAGTTTTTTTAACCTTGTTCCTCCAATCTTAATAAATGCTAAACTGCCTGATTTTGTTAAATAATCTGAAAATAACATTAGAGGAACAGAGGTGTTCAAGTTACATTGTTTATCAGTTGGAATGAAAAAAAAATTAGTTTGGAAGTTTATCCTTTATTTTTTATTTGTTCATAATATAGAAGTCTTAATTAATGGGTACAGAGGTTGAATATGTTGTATTAAAACAAGTTTGGAGCCTCATCATATCATTACAGTCCTATTTCCAGTCATGCTCTTTTTGCTGATCATGCATCTTGACAATAGCCCTGCAGCATAGATTTTATTCTAAAAGACTGTTTAAGGTGGACCCCCTCCTCCTAGCAAGCCTTCAATAATCCTTCTAGTGTAGGAAGATGATTGTTTCTTAGTGCCATTTTCAAATGTCTGTTGGCACAGACATCCATAAGCATTCCATCCAGTGACTTGACCAGTATTTCTTCATATGGAATAACTTGAATACCCATTTCATTCTCCAGCTGCATGGGATATGTGGACAATTTTTGCCACTGACCTTTGTGCTACAAGATGCTTACCATGCCTAGGTTATGACTTGTTGCAGATTTCTTTCTGGATGGTCCTTTTGCCCCAAATTGATATATATATTCCTTTGTTTTCCAATGCCATTAAGTAAAAGGGATATTCTCCTATTGGAAATTCTAAATCCCTGATCTGAAATAGAACTGGGTGATTAGTGGTCTTTAGTAATTGATTAACCAAGGGTCCCATTAATTGATTGCATTTGATTAATCTATCAGTATATTGTTCTTCAAACCACGGTATGTACAAGCAAAAAAAAAAAAGTTGGTGGTAGGTGATGCAAGCCAATTGCCTTCTTTCTAGTCATTAGTTCAACAAGAAAAAAACTTTCACAGTGGATGCTGCCAGCCACTTATCCTCCCTCAGTTAGTATTTCAACAATAAAAAAAAGTTGACAGTGGGTGCTGCCAGTCAGTTGCCTTCCCTTACTTAGTCAGCAGTTAAAAATTTGTAACAGTGGCAGATAACCTTAGTGGCTTTACTATAACAAAGACAAGGTGAGCAAGTTTGATGGCAGTATTTCAATTACATGGATAGATGGAATAATTGAAAATAGTAATAATAGGAAACACTAATTTCAATTAGTTAACTATTTTTTGTGGCAACTGATTTAATCATAATTTAAATTAATTAGTTATTGGAATAATCAAGAACAGTAATAATCAGAAATACTAATTTTATTTCATTACTCTATTGAATTTGTATTTCAATTAATCAGTTAGTTTATGTTACACTAACTGATGAAATTTTTGCTTATGGTAATTGATTGGATTTTACAACTCAAATCCGAACACTCCTTTATAACCTGTGTGTATGAATATTTTGTATTGGAAAGGGCTGTTACACACACTTTCCAAAAGCAATCAATTTTGTGTGGCATCACACTACTTAGAAAATGTTAAAATATAATTCTGATATAGAAACCATTCCACCATGATTTCATATAATGACTGTGGTTGCCACTTGACTTACAGCGTTACATATTCAAATTAGTTTTAATATAGTGTACTCAACTCTCTTAAGTTTTTCTGCTGCATAGTTATCAGAAATAAAAAATGTAAAACAAATTAATAATAAGAATTTCACAATACCCCATTGCCAAGAAAAGGGAAGATATAATTGTAAAGGACTTGTGAGGAGGTATGCTTCATAATATTTTATTTTATTTTTTCTGTAGCGAAATGTTTTTGTTTATTATGGGCTGACCAACTACTACCAGAATCACAGACGATATGTTAAATCCAGAGATGATCAACAGCTTCTAGGAAAAGTCAGTACCACATTATCTGCAGATTGTGAACCATTTGCTTATGTTGAGAACGAAACATCCAAAATACCAATTGCGCCATGTGGAGCCATAGCCAACAGCTTATTCAATGGTAAGTAGTTGGGATTATAGAATAAATATGTAAAAAAAAAACTAAGAATTGTTTGGTTTGTATCTGCACTTTTACCTAGTACTGTAGTTAGATAGTAAATACTGATGGAAATATTTCTATGCAAGTTACCTACAAATATTCTTTATACTTGTTCCAAAAATATCAGGGCTCAAATTGCTTTCTTAAGGGAGGGTGGCACGTATTTTTCAGATTAACAATGAGTCAAGGGAATGGGACATCATTCATAAAATTATGTGTTGGAGGAAGTGTGACACTTAGGATTTTATTGGTTGTTGTGTATGAAAAATACATACTTGTGTACAGTTTGAGGATTTTGTATTTTTATTGTTTATATAAATTAATATTTTTTCTTTTAGTTTGAATTTTGCTGGTTTTTGTTATTTTAAGTTTGTATTTTAAGCTAAAAAAAAAGAGATTGAAACATTTTACTTTTAGTTTATGTCTGGTACTAGTTACATTAGCCGTAAATACTATTAAAGGCCAGCCCAAAATATAAATTCATGGTTCATCACTGTCATTTTGCTGTCTATACCCTTCCTGACTTGTTCAGTAGTTCATCTTTGGGGATATTTATCCTTAGCTGTTGAGTTTTGTCAATACAGACCGAATTTAAATTTTTTTTTGGTTGAAAAAAAAAAATCACACTGAACTTATTGCATTTTAAAAAAGACTAATGTTTTTGCTGATTTAAATGATTTTAATAGTTATTAATTATTTGCTTCGTGATATACATATAATAATGCATCCAAACAAAGTATTTTAGTCTGAACAATCTACAATTTTCATGCACACAGATTCTTCATATTGTAACAACATACATAAATATTTTTATAAGCCATTCTTGTTAATTGTTTTTTACATTGCATGAAAAACAAAAACTTTTTAAATAGTTTAGTATTTTTCCCTCTCAACAGATACCCTAACACTTGTTCATCTTGAAGCCGGGAATATGGTAGAAGTTCCACTATTGAAGACGGGAATAGCTTGGCCTACAGATACTAATGTTAAGTTTCAGAATCCCCCTGGAGATGTGTCTTCAGGAGAAGGTAAAGCTCAATTATCATTTAGATGTATTTTTTAAAGCTTTGATGTAAATTCAAAGAGAACTGTATGTCAGAATATTTTTAGTGGTTTAGAAGAATGACTGACATCATTGTGATTCTATTTCTACAATAAAAATTTGATTTTGAACATTATATTGTGTGTTAGCTCAGAAAATATACTTTTAAAGTGTTTCTGGCATGCATGTTCAAGAAATGCTTTGCTAGTATTGTGACTAAAAAAGACGTATGAATACTATGATGTGAATTAAGCAAGAAGTTAGGCTTAGGTAATAATTTAGTATTAATATATTCATGATGTTAGAAAAATACATAGGTTCAAGAAATCAATTTAACACAAAGATATGATATGTTGCAAACAGTATCAATATAGGTAGATTTTAATGATATAATGTAAGTGAGGAGAAATTGTATTTAAGGTATGATTTTGAAGACAACTGAGAGTTTTGATTTGGTGATTTCAGGGAACTTCTAAAAGTCTGCTAATTACAACTGTTAAGTAACTTTTTTTTTTTGCACAGATTTATAGATGTCTACGTTGTTGTTGTTAGAAGTTGATAATAGAGAAATACTTGAGAGTAATATTATTGCACTTTAATTATTATCTGATTACTTTAGGGGCAAATTACTTTCTTAAAGAATTTACCCAAAAAACTAGTCTTCATGAAAATAGTGAGTTATGTTATTAAAAAGTAAGTTGTTTTTAGAGGTAAAACTTGACATTCACTTATTATGTGCAAGTTTTATTCACTGTAATGAACTTTATATAGAACATTATATGGTACATATCCTGTGAAGTATGAATGTTAATTTTTTTTTTACAGCACAACGTTTCTTTACACAATACAGTCAATGTAATGTTCTATTTATTATTACCTTACTATAATTCTATAGTGCAATAATTGATTTTCAATAACATTCATAAATAGTTTTACAAAGTATAACGTCTGAAAAGTCATCAATCTTTTGTCGAGTAATAATATGCAGAATACCGGTGTTTGATTATATTCACACATATTTCTAAGTACAACTTAAGTGAATCACAATAGCCATGTGTAAAATACAAAATTATTTTTATGATTGCTTACATTTGATTGAAAAGTGCTATATATTACATTTTATGTTGAAAACAACACAGTTTGTCATCATTTGTATATTCATATCGTAATCTGTAATTTACTGCTAATAAACGAACTGTAATTTCTTTCACATGTATCATATTAAGTTCTCCATTTAATTCTGATTGAATTCAAACAGCAATGTAGACTTTTAAATATGATATTTAAATATCAATTATAATTTCCGGTAACTATAATCTGCCCATTATAAATATCTCTGTTTGTGGTATTTGATCCTCATTCCTATAGTAAAATAACAAATGTTCAAAGTCATGTACTACACATCTTATGTTTTCATACATTAAATATTATTTCATAACATTACTTCTTTCATATTGTTGGTTTTTCTCTTCTTGATAAACTGGTAATACAGAGTTTGTTCAGGACTGAAAAGAAACCCTGACAATAGGAATTTTACAATGTCACTATATAACTGTTCGTGTATCTTGTTCAAGCAAATGCTTACAAAAATTATCACAATACCAAAAAAAGTATGAACATTTTGTTTCAATACATATAATTTGTATGTATATACATATATATATGTGCACTTATCTATTAAATATGTAAAATAAGAATACACATTTTGTTGAACTTAAAAATCATTTATGGTGGAATTGATTCTGTAATTTGAAATTAGATACATCTAAGATATTGGGAGAAAAATTATCTTTTGAAAACAACAAAATAAGGAATTTTATGAAATAAAAATATTTTTATTGTGATATATAGTCATTAAATGGCATATATGTAACATGGATAAAAGTTTCTTTTTTTTAGGTCTTTTTTAAATGTAATGTAATGTATATAATGATAATATTTGTCAATATGCATTAAGAGTATTAGTTAAATGATGGCTATAAAAAGTGTAATTCATGTAGTAATTTCCAGGCTGATTTGATTATAATTATGTTTAAACAAGAAAAGACAAATGAGCACATGGAAAAAAGACAATTTCATAAACAAGATATTCGTATTTTAACACATTTATTTGCTGACTTGACAGTACAGACTTTTAGTATTTTTTATCTTATAGATAAAATTTTTTCTTATTTTCCATTATTCTTTGTCAATTTCAAGATAGTTATTGATTTTTAATAGATGAATTCTTGTTCTAAAATTCTTTTAGTTTTATAAATGAACTAACAAGTAAATCTTGTTTGTTGAGACATCACAACAGATCTTGCATTCTTGTAAACCCTATAGCCTAAGTACTTTTTATTTTTATAGGACTACTTAAGTGACAGTAAGATTTACATTTGAGTTCAATTGGGATTCTAATATTAGCAGGTGCTCTTCAGTTATTAGATTGACATTCTTAGTGTTTTAATTTATATGTACCATATCTAAACTATTTGAGACAAGAACTACTTCTGAATTGACAAGTCTTGGAAAAACTATTTTTTATTATATTCAAAGTGTCTATATTTCATGAGCATAGGCACAGTTTATATGATTTAAAGTTTAAAAAATTCAATTAAGTACCTTCTAACAAGTTCTAGATCCATGTGTTCTGTGTACAAATTGATTAGGAAATGTGAACTTGATCTTGGCATTTACGAGATACATAAATTCATGATTTACAATACTTTCAGTGATGTAAACATATATTAATATAATTTAACAGAAGTTTATCTTTTTTTAGTATCAAATGTTTTATTTTATCTGGTTTGATTATTCTTTTAGCTGTTTATTAATGTTGAAATAAAAGAGGCTTTGAGTAAACATTCATACTACACTAGGCTGGAAAACTTTAAGCTGGTGCTGAAATAAAGCACACAATAAAACTGTAAAATCTACCTGTAAATTTATTTTCACTTTTGTGTATAATATTATTTCAGTGAAATCCTGTACTAAAACTACTTTACTCTTTTGATTCACTCTAAAGAAAGCAAGTAAAATATTTAATTACTTCTAAAAAGAAGGGATTGCATGTATGACCTGTTTAACTTGAAGTTTTATTTTTTTAATATTTCATTTCAGCCTTTAAAAATACAGCTAAGCCACCTAATTGGGACAAGCCTGTGTGGCAGCTAGATCCAACCGATCCAAAAAATAATGGATACCAGAATGAAGACTTGATTGTGTGGATGCGAACCGCAGCTTTGCCTACTTTCCGTAAGCTGTATCGTAGGGTTGACCACGAGGCAAAAGGATTCAAGAACCATCTTCCTAAAGGCTTGTATAACCTGACTGTCAAGTATGGTATCCTTTATTGAAATACCCTTTTCTCAAACTGGCCTTGTAAAAATCTATTTGTTTTCATATATATTCACATTTCAACCTTTAGGACTTAAGTAACTTTTAGTGCATACCTAAAATTTTGTCCATAGTTAGTGTAGATTTAACTTAGGTTTACAAAAGTGCAAGCTTGGCTCTTATAACTGAAATTGTAATAATTGAATGCTGGTTTTTTTCTAAGGCCTTATTTTAATAGAAACACCTTTTACATGGTGTAATAAGTTGGTTGTTTTTAAAATATGACTTAAAACATTCTCTTCACATAAAAACTTGTGTGAAACTTTGGTATTGGCTCTTTTTCATAATATTTATATTAAAGACCACTAAAATCTATATTTTGATTTGTTTTCATATTTTCTATCAATAATATGCTTTTTATTATTCATCATAGTTGGTACTTGGTAATGTGTTTAAAAAACCTTGTGCAGTAGTTTAACTGCATATTTCACTAAATAAAACAGTAAGTACATTAATGAGCAAATGTATTAGAACTTTCTAAGGTATTGATTTGTCTGTATTTATAAACTATAAGTTTCATGAAATGTGGAAATGTTTACTGAACCTTAAGAACTTGACCTTAACCTGGTTGAAGCTTATCCAGTGACTTCCTTCAAAGGGACCAAAAGATTCATTTTGTCCACCACCACCTGGTTGGGAGGCAAAAACCCTTTCTTAGGAATAGCTTATATTGTTGTGGGTAGCATTTGTCTAATCCTCTCTCTTGTGTTTCTGGTCATCCACAAGAAGTTTGGCAGAAGGTAAGAAAATATTATCTTAGTATGTAATTAATCTTTAAAATATGTACAACATATTCAAGGGTTCTCAGTACTCACACATTTTAAGGTGTCTATCTAATAGATATAGCTTATGAAAATTATTATATTTTATTTTTTTTTAGGAGCAGGGGTAGTGCTATCCCATTGGGGACCATATGCAGGAATGTTTTTGGCTACTAATTACATTATTTCCAAAAAAATATACCAACACAATATATAATAATACACTTGTTAAAGTCATCTCTATTTTTACACTAAAACCACTCCACCTGTATTTTTATCAAATCGTGCACATCTGAGACCTCTCACATACCAGGAGGATATTTTACCAACTAAGCTAGAGAGTAAACCCATTATAAATTAGCACTTACCAACAAGTTATAGCACTTTTTAACAGTTCAGTCTACCACATTGAAAACATCCTTGAACTGTTTAATAATTTCAGTAGGCTTGCATCTGTGGCTTTAAAATATTTGAAAATATTTTCTTACAAGTGTCTAAAGCAGCATTCCTCAATCCATGGGCCAAGACCCAAAACTGTCATCAGAATACGTGAAAGACTTTTAAAATAGATAATAGTTTGTTTATGTAATAAGCCAGATATTTTACGCACTAAAAAAGCTATTTTTTGGGTCACAAATGGCCTTCGATGTTTACAAATGGATCTTGTGCCAAAAAAAAAAAAGGTTGAGAAACATTGGTCTAAGGTACAATACAAGGAATTGTTTATATGATTGGGCAGTTTTTAGATGATTAGCAATAATAAATTCTCTCTTTTTTTTTTTCTTCATCATTAGGTAACAGTAATGTAGTAACTTGCATATGTTGATGGTAATTTTTTTAAATTTTAATGTAACTAAATACTATAATAATAATACTTCATATACTTTTGAATGTTTATAAATCTCTGCCTTTTTCCACCTAGCCCTCATGAAATAATAGGAAATATTACCGAAAGAACCCCATATTGATGTCATAAATCTGCACTGTTTCCAAGAAAATTGGTTGGACTTTGAAGAATTTATCAGTATCTAGGTGCATTCCATTATTTTGAGTGTGTAAAGAAATTAGCCACTTTTAACTAGATGATCATAATGAATTTGTAGTGAGCATGTTTCCTAGGTAATTTATTGACGTTGAAAAAAAAAATGTTGGAGATTTTAAGATAATTGGCTTGAGTAACTGACTTAAACCAACGAAATAGTGAACTTAGAAACTCATGGTTCTCAGGGATAATTTATAGAAATTAAAATTTTTTCCGTATTAATAACTTAAAAAAAAGAAAGAAAGAAGAACTGTGTCTTCTACACTGTAATAAATACATTGACTATCGGTAACTTTCTTTTACAGTGATAATACAAAGAAATACTGCAGGACTTTTTTTTCTTTTTTGTCTACAGAAATTTTTAGGCAGAGAACTTTTCAACATACTTAGATGTCAATAAAAGTAAAGTACATATTATAATTCTTGATGCTTTTGTTTTTTAATAGTTGATCTGTGTAGACTTTTTGCCAAACTATTTGTACTTTATTTCCAAATTGGATTCTTTTGGGAACTATTTTAATGCAATGTTAACAAGAATTTTACACCATTTCACTCAAGCTGAGAAAGAATGTGTTATTTTGCCCCAATCCTTGAGGCATATTCTTCATGCTCGAACTTTCTGTTAATGTGTTAAAAAGAAATAACAGTACCTTAAAATTATTTCAGTGGAATATTTTCAGCAATCCTCATAGCTGAACATTTTCCTAATGGTAAATTGTAAAAGTGTTTGAAATGCCTTTTATGTATTAAGTAATTATAGTTTTCCCATGTTTGTTTGTTGCAAAGCCTGAAATAAATTTGAATTACCACTTGAAACAACTTTAGAATTTGACTTACCATTTCTCCACGTGACATAATTTGCTGAAATAAATTTTAAAATATCAGTTTTATTTATTTGGTATCAAAAAAATAATTATGAGATTACTTGTCATAATTTTTAGAACTTGTTCTTCCTGAGTAAGTTAAAAAAAGAAAAGTTTAGATGTCCAAGTATGTTTATGAGATTCAATGGTTACTCTGTTGTTGTTTTTTTGTCTGGGACTTTGAGACAAATTAAGTTTTTCCTCTCCGAACCTTTGTACTAGAGTCATTCTGCATATCTTATACAGTTCTTATGATTAAGTCATGTTTTTTTACTTTACCTTTTAAGAAGTTTCTCTTTTCATGCATCTAAAGAGTTTTAGTCCTAACCCGAACTGTAAATCAGTGTTGAATGACTTATGCTGAAACTTCATAAAATAAAAGAATTATCTCAGTTAACTGTTGTTTGAAGAGATGCATAAGGAAATTGTTGTTGGCTATTGTTTACATGAAATGTTAAGCATCTTTAAAGATCTTTGAATAAAATTCAATAACAGTAAATCTTATTGCCTAATATATCTTCACTACCTGAATTGCCATTAGTTGAGAATTTTCAGTTTCAAGAAAATCAAAATATAAATGTAATTTTACATTTATGTTTTGTTCGTGTCTCATTTCTGTCAAATTCCAGTCTTATGAAATGTGAATTGTTGTAGACCTGTTTATTTCAACAGTGCACAGTCATCTCTGTGTAATAACTTTATGTTTGTGGCAGTAATTTTTATTTTACAATTAAAGACATCTTAAAATATTAACATTATGTAGCTTTCTCATGGTAAATGGGAAAATTTACAACACAAACTTGTATAATGGCTATAATATTTGGCCTCTTGGCTTATTTTTAATAGTTATTTTTTTTTCATACATTTTTGTCTACTCTTCTCCTTTAGATATATTTATTTGTGACTCAAGATCTTGGTACAGGTATAAACACAAATTCCTCTTTATTTGTTTCAACCAATTTTTTCAAGCCTGAGGGGGAACTTGACTAATTAATTAGGATTTAGTGGGTGTGTTTACCTTAAGTTTCTGAATATCTCTAAATGGTTTATGTTTTTAATAAACTTCTGTCCTTTTAGAAATAATATGCAGGTTATTGTGGATGAGGATCTGGCTTTACTACTATAGTCAAAGTGAATGAAATTAGTCGATTTGTAACCAAGGAAAAAATATTAGATGAATTTCAGAAAATAATTGATTATTCATATTCTTCTTTAAGTGATAAATGAATCACATTTGCTAGAAACTTTTTCTGATATAAATGAGTTGGTTAGACCAATCCAGCACTTTTAGGGTAAATAACAATAATGTTAATGAAACTAAAGACACTACGATATTGGATTATGTGTTGTTGATATCTTCGGAATTATAGTACTATCATCCAGACATGTAAGAATTGACTGAAAACCAAGAATCTATAACACAGCAGAGCAGATAATTAAGTACATGGTTACTAATTAACTGTAAATCATACTGACAACAATTCATGTAACATATTGGATTATGTGTTAGTTGTCAGTATGATTTACGGTTAATTAGTAACCATGTACTTAATTATCTGCTCTGCTGTGTTATAGATTCTTGGTTTTCAGTCAATTCTTACAATGTCTGGATGATAGTACTATAATTCCGAAGATGTCAACACCACATAATCCAATATGTTACATGAATTGTTGTCAGTATGATTTACAGTTAATTAGTAACCATGTACTTAATTATCTGCTCTGCTGTGTTATAGATTCTTGGTTTTCAGTCAATTCTTACAATGTCTGAATGATAGTACTATAATTCCGAAGATATCAACAACACATAATCCAATATGTTACATGAATTGTTGTCAGTATGATTTACAGTTAATTAGTAACCATGTACTTAATTATCTGCTCTGCTGTGTTATAGATTCTTGGTTTTCAGTCAATTCTTACAATGTCTGGATGATAGTACTATAATTCCGAAGATGTCAAATTTCATGTAACATTCCATACATTTACCCTGTGTATTTTCATGTTAGTATAACAGAACATGTTTCAGTCTGTGTAAAATACAATGTAAATTGTTTTACGTGAAACATATAACATTCAGCATGATAAGTATTTTGTTTACCCAGTGATATAGCATTGTAGGCTCTTTGTTAGTGGTTTACTTGTGATGTAAAAATGCCTATTTTAATTTTTTTAGCTGCAGAAAAAAATTAGAATGTCTCATATCAGCATGATGTGGGTATTAAAAGATATACTGTTAAATGAAATACTAATGAATTTGCAAATTGTGAGGTTAGTATGGATGAAGAAGCAAAGATCATTTTTCAAACATGCATAGTATTATGTCATTAAACTAGATATTAACTATGATGATATTGCCTGAGAACCTGGTTTCTAAGCAGTCCAGTATTTTAGTATACTTTAACAAAATATTCAGTTTAATATTGTTACCAGATGCTATATAGTTTTCTTGTTTGTTAGGTTCACTTGAGTTGACAAATAATTAGTTTGTTCATAAAGGTTAAGTTTGAAATTTTTTATCATGTAAAAAAATGTAAATGGCTGCATATCTGTTAAATCATTTTAAAGAAACTCTATGTAAATTTTGTGTGATTTTTGGAAAATTAATTACTTCTTTTTATTTTATGTGTTTGTGTGTTTTGTTATAATTATTATTGTTGAAAACAAATTTCACTCTTTATCTCTGCTGCTTTTCAAACAATGAGTTAATACAATATTCTAGGTATTTGTATAAAAAATCACAGAGAAGAAAAAACTTTTCTTAAGAAATAATCTAAGAAACTATGACAAATTTGTATTAACCATAAGTTTGTGTGTATGTAATAATCATAAAAATTAATATTTGTACTTTTCAAGTATACTTTCAACTTTCATTAGAAATGTTTTTAATTTCTTCCTATAAACCACTCGTAGACTACTGCAAACATGTGGTCATGCCTCAAAAAGTCTTAAAATATCAGTCCTACATATATCAAAAAAATCTTTGCTTTTGCATTCTCATAGCATTCCAGCTAATTTGTAACTTTTGCCTTTTCCAAAGTTGAAAACTTTGATTGTACAGAGCTTTGGTAAATCTCTTCTTGGGATTTCTAAAAACACAGAAAAATACTAAATTTGCATTTTTAACACCTGTTAAAACTGTGCAGTTGGCCACTAAATATTATTTATGGATTAATACATGTATTGAAGGGAATGTGAATAGTTTTAAAATGCTTTGGACTTTTTATACGCATTTGTCGTAGCTGTTTTTTTTTACCAGTATTTTTAAGGATTGATACTTACATGGGTGAAAGTTCTCAATCTATAGTCTGAAATGCATCAAAATTTCCTTCCATAGACATAACTACAAAACATGGTTTAAATTTAATGTGCAATAAACACATTTTGCATTTTATTGTCAATGCCGTTCTCATCTTTATTGGTCTAAACTTCCAACCATTTTCATTTCTACAAGGAAAAGTTGTAATTAGTTAATTGAGTGATATATTTTTTTATGTACAACTGAGGTTTAAAAAAATAATTGACCATACTCATAACAGGACTGAGTATTAATGTTTAAAACATTTAACTAATTTCATGTGATCGTGAGGTTGATTTGTTTAGTAACATGACAAGTGTTTAAATGATTTCTGAATTTATTTCTTCTACAAAGTCAAGTTAAAATTTGATTCTGAAAATTGTCCAAAATGACTCGGAATGCATTTGAAAACATATACAACCCCACATCATTTGGAGGCAACCTAGGCTTCCATACCCCCAGCCAGTAGATATGCTTCAGTCAAAATGACCATTGGACTCTTGTGTACTTAACTGTATAGTTAATATCTTGTTGTCAGACCTTTGTTTTTCTCTACAGATAAATTCTATTTTATATATTTACGTGATGTTTGTTTTTAAATAGATACATGTATGTGCTTATTCACCGAGTGAAGACCATATTTCATTTCTGTTATAAATTTAAAGATAGATTGAAACATCTAGTGTTTTTTATTGTAGTTTGTGTTGCAGGTTTGCAAGGTGACTGTGTAGTTATCAATAATTTCTGATCAGGGCATACATCAGAACTAGTTTCTGGTACACAGATCAGAACTACTGTCTGGTACAAAGATCAGATCTAGTTTTTGGTACACAGATCAGATCTAGTTTTTGTTACACGGATCAGAACTAGTCTCTGGTACATGGATCAGAACTAGTTTCTGGTACACAGATCAGAACTAGTCTCTAGTACACGGATCAGAACTAGTTTCTGGTACACGGATCAGAACTAGTTTCTGGTACACAGATCACAACTAGTTTCTGGTACACAGATCACAACTAGTTTCTGGTACACAGATCAGAACTAGTCTCTAGTACACGGATCAGAACTAGTTTCTGGTACACGGATCAGAACTAGTTTCTGGTACACGGATCAGAACTAGTTTCTGGTACACGGATCAGAACTAGTTTCTGGTACACGGATCAGAACTAGTCTCTAGTACATGAATCAGAACTAGTTTCTGGTACACGGATCACAACTAGTTTCTGGTACACGGATCACAACTAGTTTCTGGTACACGGATCAGAACTAGTCTCTAGTACACGGATCACAACTAGTTTCTGGTACACGGATCACAACTAGTTTCTGGTACACAGATCAGAACTAGTCTCTAGTACACAGATCAGAACTAGTCTCTAGTACACGGATCAGAACTAGTCTCTAGTACACGGATCAGAACTAGTCTCTAGTACACGGATCAGAACTAGTTTCTAGTACATAGATCACAACTAGTTTCTGGTACACAGATCACAACTAGTTTCTGGTACACAGATCACAACTAGTTTCTGGTACACAGTTCAGGACTGGTAAATGGTATACAGATCAGAACTAGTCTCTGGTACACTGATCAGAACTGGTCTCTGGTACACAGAACAAAACTGGTCTGTGATACATAGAACAGAACTAGTCTCTGGTACACTGATCAGAACTGGTCTATGGTACACACATCAGAACTAGTTTCTGGTACACAGATCAGAACTAGTCTCTGGTACACAGATCAGAACTAGTCTCTGGTAAACAGATCAGAACTAGTCTCTGGTAAACAGATCAGAACTAGTCTCTGGTAAACAGATCAGAACTAGTCTCTGGTAAACAGATAAGAACTAGTCTATGATACACACATCAGAACTAGTTTCTGGTACACGGATCAGAACTAGTTTCTGGTACACGGATCAGAACTAGTATCTGGTACACAGATCAGAACTGGTCTGTGGTACACAGATCAGAAGTAGTTTCTGGTACATTACTTGGAAAATCTGAACAATCATCACTTTTTGATATAAATGAAACAAATGTGGATAAGAAAATTGTTTTCATAAGGTATTTGATTTTAAAAATCTGCTGGTCAAAAGTCATTTTGTCAAGTTGTGTTACTTGATTAGTGGTATTCCATGTAGTTGTAAGGATAACAATATTTTTAAACAGCAAAATATTTAAGAAACAAAGGTGTTAAAAAATTTGGTTTTAAAGCATTAGTATTAAATAATTATTTGCTTGTACATATAATACTGGGAATTTTATACATATTTTGAAATAGAATTAATATTACTTCTGTGATTTATGCTTATTTTGATAATGCTGGGGTAGTAAAAATTGTGTTTTTTTCTATATAATTATAACCACATTCACATGCACAAATGTAAGAGATAAAAAAAAAATTGTTGTTGGAAGTAATATGTTCTATTTCATTTTATCTAGGTGTTATTTAATTCCAATATGCAAATTTGATAATTTAAAAAAAATCACAGGAGTGTAGCGAAACTACATAGTAATTATTGTTATGTAACTCTGTTACCCGAAGCATGGAAGTACACGTGATAATATTTAGGTTTTTATTGTTTGATGTTTCTGACATCTCTACAAATTTTATTTGATGTTTCTACATTTAAAATACTATTCATATGTTAATTGTGGAGTACAAAAAGAAAATGTATCTTGCAAAATTTTAATGTCACAGCATTTAAAAGTTGTTCATTATAAGTAAAAACCTGTTACCTAAAAATACTTTTCATAATATATTTGGAATATAAGTTTGAAGCTGTGACTCAATTCCTTCTTTGATCAATGGGTATTTTTGAGGCATTTGAAGTACTAACATTCATTGAATTGTGAAATGTGTATATTCTGCAATTAAAATTTTCATTAATACTGCCAATACTACTTATTACCAACCTTCAGAAAATGATTTGATTAAAACAAAAAGCTAAACTTTAATTTTTGTAATGATGTATTCGTTTTTCTTTCGAGATTTTAAAAGTAAACTACATTTTGTGAGCTTTTTCTACATGTGATGTGTATGGTTTGAATATGGACTCTTGTGGGAATGAAAAATTAAAACAATTTTCCTGGTGATGCACCTTGTTATTCTAGGTATGACATCGGTTCTGTAAATGTCCATCTGTTTTCTTCTATTATACTGCCTGAGCTAGTACTAACTGATATTTT